ATGCAAGCAAGCATTAGTAAAGCTCCTTAAGTATCTGAATATCTGTTGCATTGTTTTTCAATATTCCTTGTCAGGATTTGCCACATACTTACTAATTGCATGTGTCAAATCTGATCTTGTACAAATCATAGTATACATAAGTGAACCAACTACACCGAAATAAGGAACTCGAAACATATAATCAATGTCTTCATCTGATTGAGGACACAAACTAGATGATAATTTGAAGTGAACAACCAATGGAGTACTCATAGCATTAGCATTCATCATATTGAACATTTGAAGCGCCTTCTTAATGTACCTCCTTCTGACTCCAATACAATCTGCCAACCTTTCTATCCCTCAAAAGTTTCATACTAAGAATTTTCTTCGCTACACTCAAATTTTTCATCTCAAACTCCTTACTAAGTTGAGATTCGACCTTTTTAACCTTTGCTTTATCTTTGCCTAATATGAACATATCATCTATATATATAATAACAAATATATGATCGATCCACTATCTTCCTTTCTAAAGTATACACAACCATCACAATTTCTTTTAATGAAACTATGAATAATCATGAATGAATCGAACCTTTTATACCACTGCATTGATGAGTGCTTCAACCCATACAAGGATTTCTTCAACAAGCACACAATCTTTCTTTCCAAAAACTATGAAACCCTCTAGTCATTGTATGTAAATGTTCTCATCAAGTTCTCTGTGCAAAAATGTTGTCTTAACATCCTCTGCTCAAACTTCAAATCATTCTTTGCCACTATCCGAAGTAAAGTCCGAATTGAACTATTCTTTACAATTGGTGAGAACATATCTATAAAGTCAACACTTAATCTGGCCTTATACCTAGTATTTTCAATCTCTGATGTCTCTTCTTTCATTTTGAACACCCACTTGGAGTGAACAACCTTTTTATCTATACTTCTATGGAGGTCTAATCTATTTACGAGGTCTATTCTTAGCCATTGAATACTATGGTATTGCTGGTGGTGTAGGCAAAATAGGCAAAGTATTACTATCTGTCAACTTTAAACTAGATTGATCTGTAGTAGACTGTGTTGTAACCTCTTATTATTCCGCTAAATCAATTTCCATTGCCACCTGAGTTAAAGATTCTGTTACTCAGTTTTATCAGTATCTTCACGAGATGAACCATAATTTATACTCTTCAGACACTACCTTTCTTGTCTTAAGACACCACAATTTATACTTTTCACACCTGATTTATATCCAAGAAAGATACACTCTCTAAACCTAGGCTCCAACTTCCCATTATCTACATGAACATAAGTAGGACACCCAAATATTTTTAAATTTTGGGATAACAGAAAGGTTTTTCAGACCATAGCTCTTCTAGTGTCTTTTATACAATGGCAGCTGAGGGTGAGTGATTAATCAGAAAACAAGCTATAGTAGCAGCTTCAGTCCAAAAAGTTTTAGGCAATCTAGAATTTGAAAGCATATAATGAACTTTTTTCCATCTAAGTTATATTCATCTGTTTTGCCACATCATTCTATTGATGAGTCCCGGGCACTATCAAATGTCTTAAGATGCGTCAACCCTACAAAAGTTATTGAATTCATCTGAACAAAACTTTAGCCCATTATCTATGCGTAGATGTGTTTACTTGCTTTCGAGTTCGCTTTCCTATCAATGTTTTACAATCCTTAAAGGTTCCAAACATATCACTATTTTCTTTTAAAAAGAATATTGAAACGTTCCTGGAGAAGTCATTAATCACTATCAACAAGTAATAAACACCACCTTTTGTAGGCAACGCTAGCCGTCCCAAAAAATCTGAATGGATATATTCAAGTGTTTCCTTCGTGTTGTGTCTTCCTTTAGTGAATCTAACATTTTTCTATTTCTCAAAAACACAATGCTCACAAAACTTCATCTTACTGTTTTCCTCCTTAGTAATAAGTCCTCTCATACATAATTCTGCTATACTTGTCTCACGCATATGTCTAGGTCGCATATGCCAATGTTTAGTAACTTCTTCATCAGTCAAAAAAAGTAGAAAGTGTCACATCTTTTGTAACTGTAAAACCTTACAAAATGTACAATTGTGTAGAATCTTCTGTCCTTTAATGACAACAAGAGCTTCTTGACTCACCTTCAAAATTTCACCTTCACTAGTATATTTATGACTCTTCAACTCCAATGTAATCAAAGATATGAGATTTCACATTAGTTCTGGAATGTTGGGACACATATGAAAAGTACATATCCAGTCAAAAACCATACTCATAAAGTTTTTGGAACTCGTGTCAAAAATCACAAGAAGCTTTCTTAAACTTTGTCCATCTTCTACAGCATTAGCCTCCATTGTATTAACAGGTTGCTTTACTTTTTTAGTAGCACGAACAGCTTTATTTTTTTCAATGAATAGCAATAAGTTCTTATATGTCTTTTTTTATTACATTAATAACATACTTTCTCTGTATGTCTGGATTTTGATCTGCCCCTCATTTTCTTACTAAGATTCCTATTCTGATTTCTCCTACGAACAACCAAGCCTTCAGCTGACTCCCAGATCCTCTAGCAAGATGTCTCATCTTCTCTTTAGATTGTAAAGCATCATAGATCCCTTCCACAGTCAGAATATCCCGACTCTAAGGAATATTATCTCTAAAAACTACATATGATGGCGGAAAAAGAAGAAGCCCGACTCCTATTAACATAGGAACTGGAAGTGGAACAAAAGGTATGATCCACGCATATTGATATGTCTGTTGAGCAGCGAACACAATAAGATCAAAGTCAAGTCCTCTTCATTATACTTAACTTCCAATGTATCCAAATCGGCAACATTTATTTCAACATAGTTAAGTGATCATCCAATGATGCACTTTTGGACATCCAGTGAGAATACAAACACTGTTCAAGTGTAACTTACTGATCAAAGCTCTTTGTCATACAAAGTGCTCCAATTTCAACCACAATGTAGTAGCACTTTTCTTCTTTAGAGCATCCTGAAGAATTTAATTTGATAGATGTAGATGAATTTAAGATTGGGCTTTTCGATTCCTACGCTACTTTTCATCCTGAGTCCAGGTTGAAGGTATTTTATCAAAGCTAAGCAAGACTTCTTCCAAATCCATCTGCTCGAGAACTATTTACATCTTCACTTGCCATAAAGTAAATCTCATGTTCGATCCAATAATGAAATATCATATTTCATCATTACCATGCGGAGTAATCAAACTTGCTCTGATAGAAAATATAGAAGAGTTGCTCGAGCGTCCAACTAACACCAGGCTAGCGAAAATGCTTTAACTTTTCTTCTTGATCCATAATTTTGATCTCTTCAAGATCATTTCAACCAAACCTCGAATACCCACTAGAATTTGGATCAAATTTCAACAAAAAATCTAGTGTGTTAAACAACTTTTTATTTGATATTACATGGAAGATACAACTAAAATATCTGATAAAATCACATTTAATATCATGTGTTGCCACATTGATGGGTGTTTTGACTCAAGTTGTGCTACACAACAATTTTCATTTATAGCTTTATTGGTCTTTTCATACGATCATTATCCACGGTGTTAAATAGTATTATTCTTATTTAATCCAGGTTTTTATTACATCATATAGAAACGGGATTGAACTAAGGCCCTATTTGATAGCAACAATTTTCCATGGAACTAGGAAATGCAATTTAATTTTCCATCTTTTTGGTTGTTTGATAACTTTTTTTTTTCCCCGCACAAAATTAGTTTTCTTGGAAAGGAGCAATTTTCTTAGTTTTCAAGGAAAACTTTTGATGGCAATTGGTTTTCTACGCTTTTTTTTTTTTTGGGTAATAGAAATAAATTATATCCTTGATTGTAAAAAAAATATTTTCCTTTAATTGACAATTTTCATGTAAAACAAAGCCAAACGAACACCAAAAGATAAATGATTTTCTTCTTTTTTTTCAATGGAAACAAATTCTATCCACAATACCAATAAATTCTATCCTTTTAATTGACAATTTTCATGTAAAATAAAGCCAAACAAACGTCAAAAAATACTTTTATTTCAATATTTTTCATGTGAAAAATTATACCAATCAAACACAATAATTGAAAATTCTCAATAAAACAATTTCCAGACAGTTCAATTCCCTGAATTTCATTTTCTTTCCAGTCAAATTCCATCTTTGTAATCAAACGTACCCTAAGAGTAAAGCTTTGTAGCCCCACTAGAGTTGCAACCACCTAGATTGAGGTTGTAATCCATGTGGAGCTAAATAGCATCGCTCTTAAACTATTCCCTATCCTGTTCTAATGGAATTAAATGATATTAAGCCCCCATTTTTTTTCAAATTCTAATGGTTTTAATATATATGTGTGTGTGTGTGTGTGTGTGTGTGTGTGTGAAAAGTAATGAAAAGTTTTTTATTTATGTATAATATTATTTTATGAAAAATTGTATAGTTAAAAATAAAAGAGAGAAAGAGAATTCGGGCCAAACGGGGGCTAAAATTTACAAATGTGCTACAAGTGCACTATTTTTGACAACTTTCTCACATATAAGAGTGGGGCCTGTGATTAAAATAATCGCGGATCCCACCATTTATGAGATAGCTGTAAATGTGTATAACACCAAGTGCTGTATATATATCATTTTCCTTAAATTGGCCTCATCATTTATGAGAAAGTTGTAAATGTGTACAGGTGTTGTACATATATCATATTCCTTAAATTTATTAGTATTCCATTAACAAAACTGTCTTGCATTCCGTAGTTCACATTAAATATAATTCAAACATATTTGACTTTTTTTCCTGTATCATATAAAAATGGATAACTGAAATCAATGCAAGTCTGAATCATTGAAGATATTTATTTGATATTTTTCTTCTTTACAGACTACAGATTAATTAATGTTAACTCATTTCTTTTTGTACAGGAATTAAAATTTTTTGATTCAGTCTCTGCCACATCTACCCTCGTTTCTATATAAACTCCCGACCCCTCCATTTCTCAATCACTCGAGTCTCCTTAGAACGCGTTAGTATTCTATTTCAGCATACTATACCAGCCTATAGAAGGGGAAAAAATGGAGATCAATGGATTCATTGTTTCCATTTCTCTATTTCTTGTTACTGTATTATCATATGCTATTTTACTTAGAAAGAAAAGAAGAAATCCTGAGAGAAAATCTAAACTCCCTCCTGGTTCAATGGGGTGGCCTTATATTGGAGAAACACTTCAACTTTATACTCAAGATCCAAACGTGTTTTTCTCTGATAGACAGAAAAGGTTTTCAAGCTCTTACCATAATCTGTATTATTGTTCTATTACAGGAGGATTTTTTATTTTATTTCTCGTTTGTTAAGTTTTTCCTTTTCAGGTATGGAGAAATCTTCAAGACTCATGTACTTGGTTGCCCTTGTGTCATGCTGGCAAGCCCGGATGCAGCTCGGTTTGTGCTTGTCTCTCAAGCACACTTGTTCAAGCCTACTTATCCCAAGAGCAAGGAAAATCTTATCGGCCCAAATGCACTGTTTTTTCACCAGGATGAGTACCATATGCGCCTAAGAAAACTTGTTCAACGCTCCTTGTATCCGGAAGCTATTCGAAACCTGGTGCCAGATATTGAAACCTCAGCAGTTTCTGCATTGAATTCATTGGCTGACGGTCGTGTTGTTAACACTTTCCATGAGATGAAGAAGGTTTATTTCTTGCAATGAAGAGTGTTAAACTGATTTTGGATTGAATTCCTTTTTTCCCGTTATCTGCCTCAACTGGTACCAATACTAATCTATCTCAATCGTTATAATCCTTCAGCTATCTTTTGAAGTAGGTATACTAGCCGTTTTTCACCATTTGGAGCCCCATTACAAAGAAGAACTGAAAAAGAATTATATCATGGTGGATAGAGGTTATAATTCTTTCCCAACAAATTTACCAGGCACTCCATACCAGAGGGCAGTGAAGGTAAAGTTTAGCTATTTATATAATTTTAGTTTGTACCGATCATTCACAAAATTTGCTATTTTTTGACTCGTTGTGCTTCAATATTGAAGGCAAGGAAGAGGCTAAGTGAAATTCTAAGTAACATCACTAGAGAAAGGAAGGAAAATAAATTAGTCAACGATCAGGACCTATTAAGTTGTTTCCTGAATACCAAAGATGAAAAGGGTGTCATTCTAAATGAGGATCAAATTGCTGATAACATCATAGGAGTACTTTTCGCTGCCCAGGATACCACAGCAAGTGGGATGACATGGATTCTCAAGTATCTCTACGACAAACCTGAACTTCTCAAGGCTGTTAAGGTAAGATCTACAAGTGGACTCTCTGTCTTTGATCTCAACTATGTTTAATTTTTCCCTTTTATTTGGAAAAATGTATGCAGGCTGAACAGAAGGCAATATACCAATCAAATGGCAATGGAAAGAACCATTTGACATGGAATCAGACAAGAAATATGCCAATTACTTACAAGGTATAATTGACTGCTTGACCAAATATGTACATGCAAGTGAAGCCACAGTTTTCATCTATGTTTTTTTTTTTTTAAGAGAAAGAGTTTGGTGTTAAATATGCTTTTCATATAGTATATTCACTTGAAATTAACAGTCAATGTGATTTTTTCAGGTGATTTTAGAGAGCTTGAGAATGTCCAGCATTATATCTTTCACATTTAGAGAGGCAGTGACTGATGTACATTATAATGGTAAAGAACTAACTCAAACTACCCATTTAAATGCAAATATATGTCTGCGCGCGTGTTTACATTGACACTATGCAATATTAATCAAGGTCTATGAATTGAAAAATTAACTATGAAATATGGTTTCCAGGTTATCTTATTCCAAAAGGTTGGAAGGTCATGCCTTTGTTCAGGAATATTCATCAAAATCCAGAATTCTTTGCTGATCCCCAAAAATTCGATTCTTCAAGATTTGAGGTACCATTTCAGTTTATTATACCGGACATATTAGATCTCTAATTTGTATATTAAGGAAAATTTTTATTTACTGTTCAATGTAGGCTGCTCCAAAACCCAATACATATATGCCATTTGGCAGTGGAGTACATGCCTGCCCTGGTAACGAATTTGCCAAACTAGAGATGCTCATTATGGTGCACCACCTTGCTTCTCAATTCAGGTAATCTTTTTTGGAGTACATATAAACCTGGTTTTTTAAGTACAACCATCGAGCCATGTTGAGATGCAAAAACTACATAAATCTTTTTCCTAAGATAGTCTTAATCATTAAGGCTATGCAATAAATATTCCAACCATCGATTTCGACCAATTGAAATATGTTTTCATTTAGTAACTGCGATAATGAATACACATTCGTAATGTTACATCAAACATGTGCACATTCATTCATACTCAGATTAATATCTGGTAAGTGCTGGTGTGTACATAATATCTAACAGGAGTTTTGCTTGTGGTTTTCAGGTACGAAGTAATGAGACCTGAAAATGGAATCCAATATGGGCCATTCCCTGTCCCTTTACATGGTCTCCCAGCCAGTTTTTGGAAAGAAGAATGGACCAATTAGGTCATACAGCATGGCATCAATTTATAGCACAGCATGTCATTTTTCATTTTCTGCTCTTAATTTTCAACTCAATTCCTTCAACCCCTTCATGTCTCCATCATTTGCACCTAGTAATTTGTACCATTTCATATTGGAGCACTCGAGATGAAAAATATAAATGTTAGAAAAGGGCATATTTTGGATCATGAGCTGAATTGTTCCTTTTCTTGAATTGGGAAAAAGTAATTATTGGAACCTCACTTTCTGCTAGTCGTACGTATTCGGTTGGGTGATGGCTACATTGCGTATGCAAGGTGTCAATCAATCCTCACAAGATATTTTGTGATCTAAAACTGTCCTCGATTTCAATAATGTTGATAGAAAAAGCTATGATATTTTTGAGTTACTCAAGCTTGAACAGTTTTAAAAAAACATGATTTGATATTCATTAAGAACCAAAAATGGCTTGAAAAGCCGTAAACAATAATGTTAAGTTGATGTTATCATGCCAATTTCCAAGAAGACGACTTCATTTCTAACTAAGACTAAGATGATCATAATTCATAGACACCTCTGTAAGAACTTGTGCAGGACCACGGGGAAGAACTTCACATTCAGAACTGAAAGAAAAGAGATAATTGTACAGGAAAAATGTTGCCAGGGCTGACTAGGAAAAATGTGATTGGATGAGTGAAAAATGTTTTCAACTGTGCTACACATCTAGGGTGAAAAAAGGCTCAAAAACAGGGGTGACATGTGTCGCCCACGATTGGACAATTTGAAAAATTAAAACAAAGAACACCCAACCATTTGCTGCCATCTCAGTCTGTATACTTCTTCCCTATTTTTAACCCCGGCTAATTGGCTTTAGTCAAATGTTTTTGGCCAAACTACAAATGGAATCCTGCCAGGTGTGAATCTGGCAAGATTCTGGCAATGTAGCATGGCTCAAACCAAAAACAGTGAGTATTGTTCTTCATTATGAATGTTGTATTTTGAGTTAGCTGATCGTAGTTATAAATTTTTTACCAAAACAATAAACTATGCCTCTTTTTATTGTTTATATAGCATACAAATACAACGGAGGGTTCCACTGACAGCATATTTCCTTTCACAGAGGTTACATTAACAATATATTAAGGGCGCCACATGTTACAAACCTTCTTGAACACGAATTTCAATTTTAACACTCTGATCATGTGAAGGCAAAGTTTAAGAACACCAGATTGAGCCAAGCTTCCTGGGAAGCCGGGACTGAATATCTAAGAATACCTTCAAGTAGTTGTTCTTTATCTCAGGTAGGAAAAGCGTCCAATAGGACTCCATTTTTGTAAAAGTGGTAAAGGGGCAGAGTCTGCAACAAATCAGTTTATTTCAGTGAAAGAAGAGGAGGATGCAGTGAAGAAATAACGTATGCAAGCTCTAGGTGTGGAAGTATTGCAGAAATCATAAGAAAGATTTTCGAACGAAGTTTAACAAACGATTAACATTTTTCACTTCCTTGTTTTATCAATCCTCAGCTGCTTAATTGGTTTTAAGGACAATTCTTGTGTATTCATGAACTGAAGGAATTTCCAAAACATAAAATTCAAGTAAAAGGCACTAAGAGATGTCACCCTAATTCTCAGCCGATCAGAAACATTTGTTCGTCATATTCATTAAGTACCTGTAGTAATAGAAAAAAAATAAATAAATAAAAATGAAAGTTCATGTAGTTTCTTTTTTATAACACGTTTCAGGCAACTAATAGTAATTTATTGGTAAGCATGCACCTATCTTGTAATACCTTAATTTAGTTATTAAAAAAAATGAAAAGTCAAATATGTCGTACTATTTTATATATATATATATATATATATATATATAAGAAAAAGATTAAGGCGGTGGAGGATTGGATTGATATCAATCCAATCCAATCAATTCAATCCAAAACCATTATAAAACAAATAAAAATCCATTATTCACACAAAACAGACACAAACACTACTAGAAAGAAATGAGGCAAAGAGAGAAGAGAAAGAAAAAAGAAGCCAAAAAAAAAAAAAAAAGGAGAAGGGGAAAAATTTTTTTTTTTTTGGTTTTTTTTTTTAAAAAAAA